ATTTGAAAATTTTGAGTTACTTAAAAAATCCAAAAAATTAACTGACTATTTTGACAGTTTTGCAATTTAGTCTCTAATTTTCTTATTCCTTCATTTCCTCCTTTTTAAATCCATTTTTTTAACCAAATTTGAATTACATACTCTTAAACCATCGTTGAATACTTATATTCTTTCAATTAATTTTTTTGATAATATTTTTTTATTTTTCAAATTAGACCCTTAACTTTTTATGATTTCCTTATTTCATCGATTCACCCTTCATTTTAAGTCAATTTTTTTACTAAATTTGAATCACGTGCTCCTACACCTCTATAGAATACATCTGTAACTTCAATTCCTGTTTTTTACTAAAAAATATACTCTTCATTTATTTAGTCTCTTAACTTTTCATTTTACTCAATTTGATCTTTTGATTACAGTTATTTACAAATTCGTTCTTCTCATCAATCTCTTGAATCTTTTATACACTCACCAATATTTTACCCTCGAAATATCTTATTTAAAATATAATATTGTAAATATATTTTATAATTTTATATTATAATTGATATATTAAATAACATTATAATATGAAAAGAATATTAAGTATATATCTTATATGGTTAGAGAAAAATAAAAAAACTAGAATCAATCCATACCATAATATTATAAATAATTATAATAAATTTTGTATAGAAACTCGAATAACTCAACTCGAAAAAATTCTAAGTTAAATTCTAGTTACAAAATACAACTCGACAACTCGAATAACTCAAAATTCTTTAACTCGACTCGATCAAATACTCACCAATAAATACAATATAACACAAGTGGTAAAATTATTTCAGATATAGCATTGCATCAACATATAGTTATCGGGGCGCGAGGGGAGGCGTTATTATATTAAAACCCCCCATTAATTATTTTTTTTGGAGAAATAACCCCTAAATCATATTTATTAGAAAAATACTCCCAAATTGTTCGCATAGGATGATCTCACGTTCTTCAAAAAGGAAAGTCATATATCACGTTTAAAAAAAACGAATTTCATGCATTTATTATTATTTTTTTCCAAAATTAAATAATTTTATCTGAAAAAATAGATGGGTCTCGCGTCTTATAAAATGTGACACGTTTTATAGAATAATAGGTAATCCTACGTGAGTAGTTTGAAAGTACTTTCTATCAAATCTAATTTGGGATTATTTCTCTAAAAAATAATTAATGGAGTTTTTTAATAAAATAACGCGATTGAAGGGAGATTGTTTTCTTAATTTGACCATCATGAATTGACAATTTCACACATGGGTAAAGAAAAAATTAAAAACCAATGTCTTCTTAAATTACTTGGAAATTTCCTAAAGTATAACATGTGAAGGCAAACTGAGTCAACAATATTGACGTACGTATTTTAGTTTGTGCGTGCGTGTATATATATCGATTAAGTTAAGGTGGGTACAAAGCAATATATATTCTAAATATTCTTAACCGTATGACAATAAACGCTCAATAACTATGTTGTAGACGTCGTTAATGTTTGAGTTCATGATCTCTAAAAACAATAACGATTCTTTTAATCACTAAGATAAATTGATACATACTACGTATTTATATTATTCTACAAAATTGTTATATTTAGTAGATTTTTAATAAATGTGCTCAAACTTTAATTAAAGAAAAATAATGTCATGCTCTGAGCATAAACATGGTTTAACCAATATGTATATCCCTCATTTTAGTAGATTTTTAATATATGTGTTTAAACTCGGATAAAAGATAGATATTAACATGTATGACTGTATTGGCAAACGAATCATAAAAGTGATGAAACTATTGAATTACCACTGACAAATCGTAAATAAGAATTGAGCGCGTGAAAATACTATCAATGAACGCATATCGTGTTTCTAAATCCAATATGAGAGTCCAAAGCAGGAAAGATCAACATGATAACAAATAAAGTGTCATCTTGAATAGTCGTGGAGATGTTAAATCTAATCCTGAAAAAAAATCAACGAAAATAACGATCAAACAACCGAAAACATGTCATAAATGAAGAGAAAAATGTGTCATAAAGACAGAAAGAGACATATAATAAAAACATAATTATTAAAAGGTAAAAAAATAAAGATACATTGTAATAAAACAAAGTAAAAACAATGAATACCGACAATTAACGATCAACATCAAAATTAATACAACCGCCTATCATAAAAATAAAAAAAGAGAGAAACTAACAAAGACTAAAAAAATAAAAATAAAATAGGGCTAACCATGATTACTATACAGTATTAGATATTTAGATATATGATTTGGTGGGTGAGATATTTGTTCTCTCATTGGCCAACCACTCAGTGAGTCAAAATTGGAGTATTCCTCCCAAACTCAAATGAGTTGGATGAATGTTACCAAATTTAGGCCATTCCCCACTTTTAATATTTAGGATAGCTATTACCTTTCTTTTTCTCCTTTCAAATAAATTGAAATAATTGAAGTTTTTCTATTTAGAATCGTCTTAGGCCTAATTCCTATTACTTTGGCTGGATTATTCGTAACCGCATATTTACAATACAGATGTAGTGATCAGTTGGACCTTTGATTAACTAACATCTCTTTTTTTGACTTTTGACTGACCCCTTTCTTTAATTCTTTAATTTTATATCTTTAATTTTATAAAAATTTTATAATTTAAATTTAATAATTCAATCTTAATAATTTAATCCAAGGAGGTCAAATTCGAATTGTTGTTCAATTTTTTTTTCAGTTCGGTGTAATTTTCGACCTAATAAGAGCCGAATCGCGTTCTGTAGGATTTGAACCTACGACATCGGATTGCGCCTCAACTATATCAACTGTACTTGAACTGTTAGATAATTATAGTAGATGATAACATCACTGTTTTCATCGCTAGTCCAAAATCGTACATGAGATTTTCACCTCATATGGCTCCTCGTGGGTCACAAATAAATTTAAGGACCAAATCAGTATTATTTATCTTCGTATGGTTGTAGAATAGATAGATAAAAGATGGATTGGAAGGTCCAAAATTATACCAATGGAATTCTGTCTGCTATATTCTGAAGAATAAATAAAAGTGCTTCTGAAGGGATTTCCGTCTCCTGATTAGGATCCGCGGCCCAAATTAAAGTTATGAAACAAGTCGCTGATAAATCAAAATTGGAATTGGCCCAATTCGCTGAATTAGAAGCCTTTGCGCAATTTACTTCTGATCTCGATAAAGTTACTCAGAATCAATTGGCAAGAGGTCAACGATTACGTGAGTTGCTTAAACAATCCCAATCAACCCGTCTTACGGTGGCAGAACATATAAGTACTATTTATACCGGAACGAATGGTTATCTTCATTCATTAGAAATTGGACAAGCAAGGAAATTTCTCTTGAGATTATAATATATATTTGATATTTGTTTTTCAGTAAACATCGTTTAGGGTTGGAATCAATTTATTCTAGGTTTATCTTAAACTGGATTGTTTGAGATTCTAATAATATTGAATTTTCTATCAAAAAATAATAATAAGAGTTAACTATACAGATGATCAGTTATGTTTGTGTTTTGTCAATTTTTGGTCAGTGATTTGAAAAAAATAAAATAGTTACTTTCGTTTTTATTTAATTAAGATATTGACATTTTCTTTTTTGTTTAATTAAGATGTGGTCATCACGGGTTAACTATTATTAACAATTAACATAATATGTGACGTGATAGTTGATATAATCACACATTTGATCCATGTTATTTACACATTCTCTCAATTTAGTCATACTTTTAAATAAATTTTAATATAAAATATATATTTTAAAATGAAAATAAAAATAAAATATTTTTAATTTAATTTAATAATAAAATATGTTTAATAAGTTAATATAAAAATATTTTTTAAGTTAATATATATATATATATATATATAATATTATGAGTTTAAATATTTATACACTAAGATACAAAATATATACATCATGTTGTTTACTTTAGATCAAACAATGGTCTTGGCTTAATGGTTGTTTACACGTGTTAGTTTCCTAAGTGACTCAGGTTTGAATCTTTTTTATTTCAATTTGCTTTCCTTTGTTTTCTTTCCATCCGAGGGTGACACATGCCACTTTTTGATTGGTGGAAATAAATATATTAAATTAAAATAAAGTTATGACTCTAACCGAATGTTGACATTGACATGACATATGACATCATTCGATTGAAGGACTAAATTTATTTTAATTTATTAAAAGTATAATTAAATTGAGAGAATATGTAAATAATAGTGATCAAATGTGTTATTATATTAAAAAATTAACTGTCAATAACGATAGTTAACTCGGGATAATCACATCATAATCAAATAAAAACGAAAGTGATCATATCTTATGTTTTTCGAAATCAATAATTAAAAGTGGACAAAACACAAATATAAGTAATCATCCATGTAGTTAACCCTAATAATAATATTGAATTTAGATTTTTATGTGCTCAAGTTATTTTAGATGCCATGTTATTTTAGTGAAATCATTTGTTCTCAACCTTCCAATTCATGTTTACTGCTTAATTTGAGATGCTTTAGATTTTGAGTTTAAATTCTAATTTCAAAATTTTATTAAATTTTAATATAAAAGATAAAAAAAAATTACAATCGATTAATCTAAAAAAGCAATGAATCAATGAAGGGGGATTTGCTTCGAGCTGGCGAAAAAGGTAGGCAATTCGATACGGAATAAGACCAGTGTCAAAAAAGAATGAACTTTCCAAGAAGATTCAACCAGCCAACGCGAAAACAAGGAAATTTCAAAAGCCCAAGTCAAATAAAAATGAAAACCAGGGGAAGTTTTTGTTGAAGTTTGGGCCAATTCTTTGTTATATATATATATATATATATATATATATATATATATATATATATATATATATACACACGTTATTAATGAACTAGTCTTTCAACTCTTAGCCCTCTCAACTTCCCTTTTTTTTATTCTTCTTATTCTTCTTTGTTTTTCTCGCTAATATCTAAGGGGGTCACATCTTATTTCTCTCACTTTCTCAAATCTATTCGTTTTTTTGGCTTCTCAGTGGCGTGTTCTTTCTTTCTTGATCGATCGATCATTAGAATATATAATTTGAGTGCTTTTTATGAATTCAAATTTCCAAGCTATCATCTGCTGAGGTTGATGTGTACAAGGTGTTTTCTCTCTCTGGGGTTTTCCCTATTTTTTCTCTTTAATATGAGTCGGGAAAAAAACAAGAGTTTGATTCTTTGCTTATGAACATCAAGTGGGCAAATTTATCTAGCTTTGGGTTTTATCCGGCTGTTGTTGAATTATAAATTTTTGATAAGGATTGTAAGTTCATCTGTAAAAATAAGATGCTGATCAGCATTTGAACTGTGTTACATTTAATGCCAGTATTTGTATATAATTCTTAACTTAGTAAGTTATCCTTTGTGCTTGATAACAAGTTATACCATCTGATCTTTCGAGTTATATCAGCTCAGAACTGAAACAGGGAAGATCATTAATTGGGTTTGGTAACTGTTTCGTTCTAAGCATCTTGTTGCTTAGTTCTGTTTGTAGGTATAAATTGGGTTTGGGCATTTTATTTAGGTTTTGCTTGATGATAGACATAAGAGATAGAAAGTAATGACCGGTTTACTATGTTTATGACTTTGGAAGGAAGTAATTTTTTATTGGTAAACTCATAATTGTTTTAAGGAATATCTAGTTCCGTTGCATACTTGGCATAAGGATCACCATTATTAGGTGCATCCATGTTATGCAAATTTCCCCAATCTGCTGGTGCTGAGTCTCATATTGTTGAAAAGAAAGTGTTGGTGGTATTATTAATAATTTTGGAGTTATTGTACTCAAAAAGTGAAAATGAATGTAGCTCAGAAGAAGATTTTTCACCCCAAAAGAAATAAGGAAACCGGAACTGAAGGTTTAGTAGTGCTTGTTACTAAAAACGTATAGGTGTTGGTGCTGGAGTTACATGACCCCAAAAGAAAAGTGTTGGTGGTATTTTTCACCCCAATCTGCTGTTGTTATATGCTACTTTGCTTTCCATCAGAATCTTTTACAATAGGGAACTGAAGCACTTTTTATTCTTGAAATTCCCTCCTGGCTTCTACTCCAGGTTTCTAGGTCTTCTATATTTTCCTGATTCATTGTGCCTTAAAGTTGTTGGTATTATTTCTAGCAGCAATAGGTTCTTGGTGCTGGAGTTTGTGTAGTACGAAATATAGACATGACCACTTAAGCATCGTTTCTCCTACTGTTACTTTCTATCCTTTATTATGTGATACATGATTTTCTGTTTGGAGCTTAAGACTGAGTCTTGGATATTCTTTTGTCTGGAAGAACTTTTCCATTAGGTGCATCTCAGGATTCTCTTGATACTCATTTTGAAAGGAATCACACCGAAAACGTCAATATGGTTTCCCTTAAGTTTCATGAGCCAAATGGGGTGCTAGATCAGGGCCATCAAATCTCCAGTCCAGTAAGAAGAGATGTTAAGAGGTATTTTTTAGTTATTTAACTGAATTTTGGTGCAATAGCATGATTTATTTTGCTTTTGTATTTCTAAGAAAGCTTCTCATATTACAAGTTTCTACTTACCAGTTCTCCAAATTCAAGTTTTTGAATGTAGTAACATATGATTTTTTTAAGAAATTCTCTCTTTCTCAGTCATTTATCTGATTCCACCCTTTATACGGCTTTTAAAAAATGCTTCTGATGCATGAAAAGTACAGAGATTTTTGTAATGAACTTTGCAGCTTTGTTACTTGAGCTTTTCCTCATATATTTTTTATGGGTAGTGTTTGGGTATGGCGAAGAGGGGGTAGAGAGTGGAAGGAACGTCTTTCGTAACCTTCAATCTAGTTGCCACATAAGTTTCCAACTGGATTCTGCTTCCATATGGTGTTGAAGTTTTGAAGGAAACAAAAACTTGGTTGTTATGTGACTTGAAAGTAAAGTGGGAGTTTTTAATTGTCATTCCAAAAGTGATATAGTTCTTATCATCCCCCAAGGGTGCCAGTCTGTTTTCCCCCTTCTTTTTCTCTTCTTTTTAAATGGTATGTGAGCTTCATTGGGTTCAACACGTTTTTAGCTTGGATATTCATTGGCAAAAAAAAAAAAATGAAGTGAGATCATTAATGATGTGGTTAAACTTCTTCTGCTAATATAGGTCATTATCTGGTGTGAAGTTTCTTGAAAATGATGATATGGATTTGGAGGATGGTAATTTGGACAAGGAGTGGAATAAAATGACACACATTAACAAGGTCATCAAAATACAAAATCAGGCCTTATTATCTGGCCTTGCATATTGCTTATCCTCTTGCAGTATGATTCTGGTAAACAAGTTTGTGCTCTCTGGCTATGATTTCAATGCTGGGATATCCTTGATGCTATATCAGGTATTTTACTGACACCGATTCATTTGCTATGCTAACATTTTCTTTTTGTATCATAGCAGCAGATTTTTATGCGTTATTCAATAAACTGGTTATGAAGTGTTTCTGATCTCATTACAAGCTGTTGGCTCTGTATACCTGCAGAACTTTATATCCGTTGTTATTGTGTCTATACTGAGTTCTATGGGCCTAATATCGAGAGAGCCGCTAACATGGAGGTTGATTAAAGTCTGGTTACCTGTGAATGTCTTATTTGTTGGAATGCTTCTTACAAGCATGTTCAGGTATGAAGTGTATTTCTTGTATGGTCATCTAAGCGAATCCGTCGTTGATATTACTTTTATATATCCATCAGCCGAAAGAATATTTAAGATTTATTTCCTGTAATTCTATGCTTGTGAATCAGTAACTTTCTATCATTTGAATGAATTAGTCCTGTTTCGCTTAGCCATATCGTTGCATTTCATTGTTATGGCTGATCTTGCATTATATGACTTGAGTAAGAGTTGAATTGGTATCTAAATAAATTTGTGCTCAATGGTCTCTAATCTTATCCCCTGTAGGTGCTATTCCAACTTCGAGACAAATATGCTTATTTCTGACCCTGCCATTTCTTCTCTTGCCACTCAGACACCTTAAATTGCGCATTTCAACTATAGTCATTTTTTGTATATGTTGCTTATTGTTAACCCAACATTTCATACCATATAGTGAAATAGGTCTGCTGTCCTATAGAACTTCCCTTCAAACACAATGGATATTGCAATCACGCAAAACCCTTGACGCACTTCTCCGATTAGGCTACTGAACCTTAATTGTATGGTTATCAATAGCATCTCCATCAGTCATTATGGCTTTTTGAATTATATCCCCTAGGTACTTAAAGCGCTATGTGATTGGTATCACTTGATGATCGAATTTGATCACATCGTGATTGTTATTCCTTGTTTTACTAAACATGCGCCTCTTATACTCAGTACTAGATTTAGATGTTATATTTTATAATTTCTTAAACAACTCCTGAATATGATCTATAGCATTTTATTATTTTTCCAGATAATCTTAGGTGGAAGTAATTGTAACATTCATTTGTCGGTAAATAGCCACACTTTGTTGCATTTTAAAAGGTTATTTCCATAAAAGACAAGCTGTCACGAACGATTCGTGAAAACTCAAAATAGTAAATTCATCTTTATTGTAGCTTAACTGTGATTTTTATCACTTTCTGCAGTTTGAAATATATCAATGTAGCCATGGTCACAGTCTTGAAGAACGTTACTAATGTAATTACTGCAGTAGGTGAAATGTATTTGTTCAAGAAGCATCATGATAGCAGAGTGTGGACTGCTTTGCTCTTAATGGTATGTTTATTGGATCAGTTTGTTGAGAATAGAGAATACGGGACTGAGAATACTTTAAGCAACATGTTGCTCTTCCTATCTTAGCTTGATGATGGATCTCATGGTTTATCGCATTTTGAACAGACCTTACTTCTGTATTGTGCAGATCGTTTCAGCTGTTTCTGGTGGGATAACAGACCTTTCATTTCATGCCATCGGATATGCATGGCAGATTATAAACTGCTTCTTAACTGCGTCATATTCTGTGAGTATATAACAAGATAGTGTGAAATATGAAAAGGGAAGTTTTATGCTTAATTTAATAATCTCTGATGGCCAATATTCTATTCATAAATCAATTGCTGATGTTTCAAGGTTTTTTTGGTGTCTGCAAAATAAAAGCTTACTTTTTAGAGGAAGAAATGTTAATAAAAGTATTAAATTTGCAGCTATAGGATTAAATATCTACATGCAGAATAAGCTAATAAGGGATCAGCCTTTTAGCCTCAACTAGGTGCTTTTGAATTTTTTATATGGATCTTGAATTTCTTTGCCATCTCTATTTCAGAATATATACTACGAGATTAAAAAGAGACATCACTAGTTAATAAAGCAAATATCATGTTAACATGCCATTAATCATATTGTCTTTGCCTATATAGTGCAAATTATCATGTGCATTAGAGGTCTTCAATATGGAAGTGTCTAAAACCATAACAGTGTAAGTGAGATCAGTAGCTTGTGTTAAGGAAATGAATCTTTCTTGGTGAAGCTTCTTCTGGGCGAAGGTTCATATAGAGTAATGCTAATGTGATAGTTGAGACTTGATATCTTTAAGACATCATAGGGATCTAATATCTCAAATTATTTTGATTCACTAGGGTATTTATTGAAGTTTCAATTTCTTGTGTATCCTAAATGTTATAGTAAGTTGTACCTTGAATTTCTATTCTCAGTTTTTAACTCTCAAAAGTGGACGAGGATATAGTTGCGAGTTCAGTTTGTTGGTACTTGCGATATTTAGTCTTAGATTCATGATTTTTTCCTCCAATTGTCGCTTGCAGATTGTTTATTCATCTCTAGTTCATTCGTTCTCTTTTAAATCTAAAATGATAAATGGTTGATTGTTCATTTATTTATTATTACTGGTGCAGCTGACTTTGCGTAGGGTCATGGATACTGCAAAGCTGGTCACCAAATCTGGAAACTTGAATGAATTTTCAATGGTCTTGCTAAATAACACACTTTCATTGCCTCTGGGGATACTTCTTATTTTTGTTTTCAATGAGGTTGATTATCTATACACGACGTAAGTGTTTTTGTTCCCCGTCTTTATTCATGTTACAACTTTGTAGCATTCTTTATTTATTTGCTTTGTTGTAATTTTCCTTGTAGTAAAATATAGATGTCCACCCTTTCGTTGTCTGATGTTTTTTAATTCACATGGTCTTAGTTGGAATATATTAGTTATCAATTTTTGTGGTTGATTCAAAAAAATAAAGCAATGGAAACAGTGAGGTGTACTGTTCGACTCTTAATTACTTTTAGTGTAAATGCTTCCATTTCTAATTTTTAATTGGGTAATAGGTGTTAAATTTAATTTCATACAATCAATAGTTAAAAGGGAGATCCACCCCTGAGGGCTGTGTGGGGCTTTAACAATTTAATAAGTCTGTGAGTCCCCGCTTCATGCTCTGTGCAAGAAGATACCTTAGGCCCGTTACTGTTCATTTTATAAATATACAATTTTTAATTCTTAACATGTTCTATAAATTGTCCATTTAACCAGGGAATGACGCTTAAGTTTCATACTTTAGATATTGCTTGAAGCATTGATAGGTGACTGGTTAACAACTCTCTAGTGTGATAATTCAGTTGAATAAGGGACAGCTTGTTGTAAATGGTTTGTGTCAATTGTAGATCCTGAATTTGAATTGACTTCTCTGCTAGATGTACAAAATATAAACACTATTATTTCATCAATTGTTCAACTAGTAGCCTGTTTTTCTGATAATACTATTCCTGTTATTTTCCTTCGACGTTTTGCATTAACTAGCTGTAGCCTGTACTCAATTCACTTTAATTGCCATTATAATTTTGACATATTCTATTCTAAAATTTGACGCATACCTTAGATATTATGCTGAAATATCTTTTCGATTTTTTTACCATTAGTGTTATCACGTTGTTTGCTTTTTCTTGTTCATTAGATCCTTCTTTTTTCATTCTCAGCCTCTTTGTCTCCGACCGTTTTACTTTATATGACCAAAGATTGCATCTGCCAGAGTTCTTTGTTTCATCAAAATATAATTTTGTGGATCTTTGTCACACAGAAGGTCAAGTTCTTCTAAACCTGTCTCTGGTTTTGATCCTCACATAACAAGCAAATGCACCTAACTCTTCCTTCTTAGTTTCCGAAGGACAAATCTTTTCATGCTAGGATTGAAATAAGCTAATTCTTTTAACTTTCAAGCTTCACCAAAAAATGCGGCTTAATTTCAGCTTTTGATTTTATTAGTTTAACTGTAAACCATGGTAGCTCACATCCCATCAAGCAAATAACCCAATGACTGGTTTTTACTTTCACTTCACTATGGATTCTGGTACTCCTCTTATTTTACAGTTCTTTGGCATCTCACATTCTCACTATCTTTAATTTACTTGACAGACCACTTCTAAGAAGGCCTGACTTCTGGTTGGTAACGACATTAAGTGGATTTTTGGGCCTCGCTATCAGTTTCACTTCAATGTGGTTTCTTCATCAAACAGGAGCTACCACGTATAGGTAAGATGAAAGGGGGCTTAAAGGCCAATGCCCACAGTTACATTTAGCTTTCTATGGTTTGAACGAAATACCAAACAAATATATCTAGCTTTAGCGATTGACAGTGGTACGATGTGTAATTTCTAGTTTATCAAAGGGAATTTTATTTAGAAGTTAGGCTATGCTGGAGTAGAGGCAATGTTCTGTTATCAGTCCATCATTGAAATTACTTTGTACTTTGTGTATTGGTTAGAAGTATTTATTGTACATGGATTCTCACTCATTTTGTTTTCTGCAGCCTCGTAGGATCGTTGAACAAAATTCCTCTCTCCATAGCCGGGATCGTTCTTTTCAAGGTCCCTACTAGTTTGGAGAACTCTGCAAGCATTTTCTTCGGTAAGCTCGTGTATCGAACAGACTCGAGAATGGAAATCATGTTTCTGTCAATGTTATCAGCAAACCCTTTTTACACATCCTCGACTTCTTTTTCCAAGTTCCTTTTATAAGATCGCCATTGCCATTGAATTTCACAGGTCTTTTGGCTGGAGTTTTTTTTGCGAGAGCGAAAATGCGGGAGAAATCTGAGTCATAGTGTGTTATCGTAGAGCGGTATTTATGCGGTGCTTGCATCCTGTGAGTGAGGATTTGCAAGTGTATAACGCACACCCGAACAACTTTTGAAGTATTGCTTACGTGTCAACCAAGTTCCTCATGGAAGATGGCAAAAATGGGGTGGTGGAAAATTGGTTCCCGAGAGAAGTTTTTATGTTGTTGATTATTGGGAGTTGCTTCGAGTTTAGTGTCTGTTTTTGATGCTAAACCAAAGTTTTTATGTTGTATTTGTATTGGTTGGGGGACCTTGTTTTTCCCTTGTGCATTTTGCTAATATTCATTAATGTAATTTATGTATCCTTTAGTCAACTTCAATTTGAAAGAGGGAAAAAGAATAGTTCACTAATGATGTCTCAATTAATTTGCATACACTTTTTTTTTAAATGTTTACTCGATTATTATATTATTAATTTATGTTCTTCTGGTCATTTGACTATTAAATATTATAAAATGACTGCTTGATTTATTAATTTTTTATTTTTTGTCTTCGACCTTTAGGCCCCGTTTGGTTCATGGTATAATTCATTCCTGAAAGGAATGTTTTTTTCCCTGATAAATATACTCACGTTTGGATGGAGGCAGATTACCAAGTGCCAGGTAAAACATAATACCAATGGTGATTTAGTTTATTGTTTTCCCGGGAATATTCATCCCTCATCTCCCTCAGGTATTTCATTATTCCCATCCCCGTTGTCTAAAATAGCCCTCCCCACTTCGTTCTGACTATCGAGATTCTTTGAAATTCCGACCGTATGTGATTTCCTTCCGTCGCTGCTCCCCTGCTTCGATGGGTAGTATTTTGGTGTTGATTCGCCTTTGTGTTCTCCTCCTTTATGGTTGAAGGGGATGCCAAAACATGGGTCATCGTCTTTGATGTCCGTTGAAGTCGAGAACTCTCTGTCTCCACATTCTTCATTCTAAATCTGGGCTTTTTGATTTATTTATTTTTGTTAATTTTCATTCGCATGAACTTTGAAAGTTTTGAATTAGAATTATGAATTAATTGAAATTTATATGCATGAATGAATGGGAAATTTGTGCGAATTAATCATTCATTGAAACTATGTGAATGAAAAATTTTCGAGCTCTTGTTTTCAGATGTAGTATTAGGTTTTTTTAAATATATTTTAGTTGATAAATTTGTATTGATTGAAATTTTTCGAACTAATCATTCATCGAAACTGAATTAGGTGGAAAGATCAGTGTCATACAATGAGCAGAGGCCGAAAAGCCCTCCACCGGACTTACCTTCATTGCATCTTAATGGTAGAATAGTTTACATTGGCATGCCGGTGAGTATTCCCGAATTCCGATTTAAAAGGGTTGGTGGGTGGGTGAGGTTTATAAATTGTAAATGTTTTCTGTTGCATATGCTTTACCAAATTAGAAATTATTTTTTATAAAAATTGCAAAACTGGGTTGAGGATAACTGGAATTTCATGTTTTTGCAATCTTGTTAAGAGTTTTGAGATAACTATTTCCTGGAAATTCTTGTTCCCAAGGGACAATCTGTATCTATATGTATTAGGATCCTAATTCATGGATCTCTCAGTACGAGAAAGCAAACCAAGAGTATTATTTCCTATATCATACTGTTTTGTTGTTACTGTAATTTGTTCAAACAGTTTGATCGTTTCTACCTTTTAGCTTGTGCCTGCAGTGACAGAGCTTGTAGTTGCATAACTAGCGTATCTTCAATGGATGGATCCCAAGCAACCAATCTATCTTTACATAAACTCTACGGGAACAACTCGTGATGATGGTGAAGCGGTGAGCTTTGCATATGGTACCTTCAAATTTGATAATGAATTTAAGATGTAATACATTATGGATCGCGTAGCTTCTGGAGATGTTAGACTCATACCTTGGTTCTCATTTAATAAGTAAAAAAGTCAGTTGAGTTAAAATTTGGATTTTCAGTCTTTTGTGTAGATTAAGTGCATGTAAACCTACAAATATGAAACTGTATACAAACCCGAATAGTATCTGAATTGTAAACACTAGCTTCTTCTTCCATGCTGGCGCTTCTTCTGCTTGCCATGCATTATGTTCGCTTCTGCTTGCTATACGTACATTAATTTAAAGCTCTTATAATGCAGGTTGGCTTGGAGACGGAGGATTTTGCCATCTATGATGCACTTATGCAGTTACAAAATGAGGTGAATTTTCGTTCTTCAAAGATATCAGTCTGCCTCGTTTTCTATATTTTGTTAAGAAAATTTTCTCTGGATGTCTCGAGTTTATGTTACTTTAGCTCAAGAACGAGATTTAATTTTTTCTTTATTCACAGAATTCCTTCATAATTTGGTAATATTGGTTCCCCACATGTACATACATTCCAGTAATCTTTTATTCCTTTAACCAAATACTGTAATCTTACATTACTGTTAAACAAACCAAACACAGTAATGTAACATTCCCAGTAATGTGTTAGGTAATGTTACATTCCGGTAATCCTATTCCCAATGGTAATCTTATATTCTGTGAACCAAACGCACCCTTAGTTTATTTTATGTTGGTTTTTGATTAAGCTAAGGTAATTATAAAGTAATATATGTTCTAAATACTCTCAACCATTTAACGATGAACACTTAATGTGAGGTTATTAAGGGATTAAGTATTAATGTGATGGAAGGGTGTTATTAAGAGATTTTTTTCAATACTTGTTATTAGGGGTCTAATTTTTTTTTAATATTTGTCGTTAGGGATATACTTTTAAAATTTTATTTTTTTAATATTTGTTATCAGGAACCCATTTCTTTCAATATTTGTTATTGTGGAGCTACCCTAAAAGTTTATTTATTTTTTCAACACCTGGTATTAGGAACAATTACTTAAATAACGGTTTGTAACCACAAAAACGATCATTACTTAGTGGTAACGATATCGTTTGAAATAGCGATATTCACAACCGTTATATCCATAGTAGCATATGTTACACAACCATGATACTTGCAATGACCGTAATATTATTAGTTATGTATGCAATAGCGATAAACATAACTTGATCAACTACACAAATACAAACTATAATTTAAATCCTTGATTATAGAGGTCTAACTTTTTTATTTGCTCCCACAAACGGACCTGGCTTTCTCTTAACTAAAGACTCAGGCAAGTCTATATTTTAAAGATAGGAGTGAGTTTTCCTTTGGTTGATGCAACTTATATCTGCTGAATGTGTGGATTTATGCAGCTGGGCAGGAACGATTCAGAACATTGACAAGTTCTTATTACAGAGGCGCCCAAGGGGTTGTTTTTGGTAATTAAATCCCCTCTTTTTCACTTATTCTGTTGTGGAATTTCCTGTTTTGATTCCTCATAGATCCTTTTGTAAAACCCTTGAAAGGAAGTAAACAGTGTCTTGCCTCTACCATGATGGGACGGATTTAAGATTCTAAAATTTTAGGGACGAACTTAAGTTTATAAAATTTTGGAGAGACAAAAACAGATTTTAAATAAAAAATATATAAAAAATTAAAATATATAATAATTTTAAAATTTTAGGGGCTACTGCCTCTATCAATCCCTCAGTCGATCGCTATGCCATAAAATTATTATGCTGATCAAATTATGTTTGGATAATCATCGACGTAACACACGAAGGGAAACATTTACGAATTTCAAAGAAGTGTAGTCCAAGGAATTCGAACACTACTCGACGAATCAAGACTGCATCAAGATGCTTGTCGGGAACAAAGTTGACAAGGTGGATTTACTCACACCAACAATCTCCATGGTTATTTTTCTGTTCTAATCAGCTTGTGCCCGATTACTGTGAAATGAAATCCAGGAAATCCAGCGGATCGTGACGAAGAAAGAGGGATTGGAGTTTGCGAGAGATAACGGTTGCCTTTTCATCGAATGCAGTGCTAAAACGCATGTCAACGTGCAGCAGTGCTTTGATGAGCTTTGTTCTAAAGGTATTCGATTGAAATGGAATGACATTTTGATAAACTGTACAGATTGTGGATACACTAGCCTTTTAGCCGAGGGATCCAAATGTCCAAAATTATAATAAATACGAAAATTAATCGGATCAAATTACACTAAATTATTAAGAATAAAATATTATAATACGGTAGCGTATCTAAATTAACTGATAGGTTGAAATCATTGATTTTTTGTTGTTGTTGTTGTAATCTTCTAAGAAATAAATTATGTTGAGTATAAACTTTCTGACATAGATAAGATTAAATACGTGATTGTCTATTTCTTTATAACTATAACTTCTTTATATAGTTGATTTAAGAATTAATTGTTGTATGTACTTATAACTCTGTCCCTCGTCGAATTATAAATACAATTTTAATAATATTTAAGAGCAAAATTTACAAATGAAAATGAAAGGCATTAAATTTTGAGAGAACATCCAGAATCTTCAATGCTTTTTTTTATTATTATTAAAATGGGAATCGGGCATCAACATGGGTTAGTTCAAGCTGTAAATAGTTTGATATCGTTTAATTAATATTTCGAGTTTGAATCTTTATATATGTAAAAAAAAAATTATGTTAGAAAACTTATCGATTAAAGTCAGGCACACTACGTGAATAGAAAAAAATAGGAATAGGGTGTTTAAAATAAGTTGCACTTTTTCTTTAAACAAATTCACAATCAACTTTAGTTGCGGGAGACATCTTTGTAGGGGCTCTATTTGTAGCCTCTCTTTTCCGCTTAATAAGCTTTACCAGTGTTTCTAAGTGTTAGCACACAACTTTAAAACTTCTCCCAAATGATATTCATTAATAAACTAAAATTATCTACTCAAATTTCTTATTAAAATTAATTATAATTTTAAACTCGATAAAAATATAACTAACTAAACTCTTTTTCATATTATCAGTCACATTTAAACTGTCACATTAATAACGTAGACTTTCATATCAGTATAATAAGATTTTAAACCTTAAACTTTAAATCCTAAAAACGATAAAAGTTTTAAGATAATGTATTTGGGAAAGAGAATTGAGCATTTAAATCCCTTGGAATTTTATTTTTTTTCAAATAAGATGGTATCTGCAATGTTCGGAAAAGTCAATCGGATTACTAGGCGACTTCTTGAAGACGTCCGGATTGATGGGCAATTTCCCTGTACAGTAGATGCAAAAGAACAAGATTTTAGGTGAAAGTTACCCAGTAAACCTAACGACTTGCAGAAATCTCCGTATAGTCCTACAGACTTCCACCATGTACTATATAACAAAGACAATAACTCAAATAGTAGTTTACATAAACATAAAAATGTTTAACATTTGAGCTTGGAAACGCAAAAGGGGAGTTGTCAATATCTTGAGTAGCCGTAAATATGGACCACTTTGGATTTTGTAAAGGGTTGGGTTACATTATTTTAAGCTTTATTGTTAAAGTTAAACAAAACCAATAGATTTTTAACGCTTTGAGGCCCTTCATTGGGTCTTTTTAATGTTTGGTCGACGGATGAGGGTATGTAGCGAGAGAAGAACGAATGAACCAAACTCAAACGTCCCATCAACTTGCATGTCAATAAGATCATGGAGTCTCTGTTACTGTTTGTTTTGTATACTTTTCCCAGAATTTTGGTGCCCCCTTGCATACAACTGGACACTTTGTTCCACCATGAGTCTTTGTGGGTCTAACCATCTTTTCATTAAAGACTTTAAGGTAGTTTTCTTTCCTCTGGGAAATTTTAGAGTTAATTTATTTTAAATTTGTCATCAAACTTTTAGATATTTTAATTTTATGCACGAATTATGGCTCTTATTCTATATTAGTTCCTAAAATTTTAAAGGCATAATGATACAATTACCCCCACAACGTTTGCACAAATGATCACTCAATTTGTTCCCTATTTTCTTGGCATTTTATCCCCTAATAGTTCAATTTTTGGTCAAAACAAATCCTGTTGGATGAAAACTAATAATTTACTAACATACATCACATGTTGTTGACTTGACATTTTCATTTGTGATAAATTATTGATGTGCACAGTTCTATGTCACTAAAATGATGATATGACATACGTTACATCACTCAAAATGATGATGTGATATATACATACATCATATCATCTAAAGTTATATCATAGCATGTGCTACATCAACAATTGAACACATGTAAAAATGTTACATCAACTATACATGTTGATTGTTAGTTAACTAACGGTTTCCATCCAACATGGGATGTTTTGACAAAAATTGAAACGGTGAGGGTAAAATACTAAAAAAAATATGGGGCTAAGCGACAATTTGTACAAACGTTGGGGGTAATTGTATCATTATGCACAATCTAAATTGGTCCTCAAACTTTTGAATGTTCCAATTATATCCCTAAACTTTTGAATGATTTTGGAGATGTTATTGGAATGTCCAAAAGTTTTGGGACTAATTTAGAATGAATGTCATAAATTGAAGATGAATTTAAAATGTTCAAAAGTTTGAGGGGAAATTTAGAATGAAACTCATAATATGAGGATGAACGTAAAATGTTTAAAAATTTATGGACCCATTTAAAATAGTAATCATGGTTTGATGACAAATAGTATAATTAACTTGAAATTTTAAAAATATTCATTTTACTTTGAGATTAAATAATCAACAATTAAATAAGTTTTGACACTCGGTTATATAAAAGTAAAGTTGAGTGATTTTTTTAGTTATTATTAATGTACGCATACTTTATAAATATAATTATTTAAATTTAAAATTTTTAGGAAAAATAATATTTATTTCGACCACTCAATGAATTAACAACATGTTGATATTTTTTTGATTAAGTTAAGATGATTACAAAGTAGTATCTGTTTTAAATATTCTTAATCATTTGAGAATGAATATTCAATCACCTTGATGCAACCACTGATACTCGAACTTTTAACCTCTAGAAGGAACAATAATTCCTTTAATCAATAAATTAAGTTATTTCGTGTACAAATATATATATATATATATATATATATATATATATATATATATATATAAATACACGTACAAATCAAGGGAAAGAAAAATAGTTGTGGGGATTGAGTTTGCACCCATTTGCTAACATGTTACCTGCCTTCCACTTGCATATCTATCTTTAACGTTCCATAAAGTTGGGGAGGCTAAGACTGTCATTTGATGAACATAAGTTCCATTTATTTCTAAAAACAAAAATAACATATCAATAAATATGAAATTATACGTTCAATACATCAAACATTAATTTAAACTATATTTCAAAAATAATATATCAATAAATATGAAATTATACGAACCAACTTAATTCAATGGTTAAAGGAATCATTGTTGTTCCTAGAGGTCACAGGTTCGAGTACCAGCGGCGAATAGGGTGATTGAGCATTCATTGTCAAATGGTTGAGAGTATTTAGAACAAATATTACTTTATAATCATCTTATCTTAATAAAAAAATATAATAAATAATAGAAGGGACGTTATTTTCTTTAAAACTTTTAGCTCCGAGCAACTATGTCTACAAAATATGTATACATTATTAATTAGTTAAGAAAATTTAAAACAAATAAAACGTGTAATCACCTCAATTCATTTAAAAAAATTATTGTCATGATTGGGTGATGCAGTAATTAAGATGGATAAGACTTAACTAAATGGATGAATTGTTTATTATTATTTATTTTGAACAAAGGGTGGAGTGTTTATGATTTGCAAGCTTACATAAATTGACATTTTTGTGCATTAAGGGGAAGAAGGAACCTATCCAATACACCACAAAGGCACATATACATATACATATAGATATAAACAAAATGCAACAACACAAACGAATTGTCCAAAAAGAAGACATGGTTTGGTCCACATGGATCATAATTCATAGCAGTTTGAGCAGTGTAGTGGCCTTTGTTTTGGTCCTACCACTACACTGGCTCTGAAGGAGCAACAGCAGCTGCGTCAAAGCTCCACCCACTATTGCCTTTTCCCTCGCCTCCAACGATCCCTCGCACACCTTTATCAACGAGTCCACCGCGCTTTCACTCCCTTCCTCCTCCGACACCCTGAACACCATCTTCACCACCGCTCTCACGCCGTTCGGATTCTTTATCAGCGCCTCTTTGGCTTTCTCTTTCACCAGCACTTGCTCTATCATCGCCATCGCCGTTGCCGCCAAGCTTCTGTCCTTCCTCTCCGAGTTCCAAATGTACGTCACCAGCCCATCGACCAGGCCCTGTTGGACCAGATTTTCCCTGTTCGATTCCAAGCAACACAAGGCCGAAATGGCTCGGATCCCAGCCTCGGATATCTCACTGTTTTGCTTCACAACACAGATTATCATGTTCAACAATCTCTGGTTTTGCCCGATCATTCCACAGAGCTCCCAGGTTGCCGACGATGATGAAACTAGCCCCACGATATGGCACAAGCTTTGCTTCACCATCACATTGCCATGCTCGAATAGAACCACGAAAGATTCCAACTTTGACCCTTCTTTAAGAATATTCAAACACTCCAATTCTCCCAAAGGAAGCAACCTGAGAACACAAGCAAGCCCTTGCTCCACGAAATTGACGTAGTCTTGGGTGAATCCAGGGTCTACCATTTCAAAAACCAGTTTCAAAAGCAAAGGCAAGAAACCCATTTCGATCAAAAAGGAATCTGTTTCATCGGTTAAATCCCTGATCTTTTGCAGCGCTTGTAGTTTCTCTAGGAAGGTTGATGAAGGAGATGCAAGGGAGTGTTTGAGGGAGACCAAAGGGTCGATTGCCGCGAAGTAATCAGGGTGCAACCGGTGACCCATTTGACTCCATTGTTGAATCAAATGACGAAGATTATGGTTGGGAACAAGAGATGGATCGTGGAGCTTTTGCATTGTGACAGGACATGTGAGATTACCTGCGGCTAACCATTTTTTTATGCTCGATCTGTCGTAGGTTTGGCCAGTACATAGAGTGACGGGATCTGTGAACAAGTCCAGGCTGATTGGACATGTAAATAAATGAGGTACCGTCATCTCATCTCCTTCCATGGAAGAAGAAAGAACCCAAAAGCTTGAGGGATTGC